TTTTGAATAGTCCATGTGCAAAGTAATTTTCATGTTAAAATTAAAAATACTTTTCCTCATCTCAAAAATCTCAAATTTCTGTTGTATAATACCTAAAACCTCCTAAATGCATTTCAAATGTTTTTGTTTCAGTAAAACTGTATAATTTATCTGTTATTTTCTCTACCCTATCTCAAAACAGGATCAGTCAATTCAACTGACCTTATAACCACCAAAACAAAAAAAACGAATTAAACCTAAATTAACCTTTTTTCTTTCTAGATATATTCGTTTATCCTAAGTAGCTTTAAGTTCGTAACATTCTACATCTATTTATAATTAAATATTATTTTTCTATTCCCATTTTTATTGCCCTTTGAACCATGTCTAACTAGTCTCAGTGCCATAAAATTTTTTAAATCTCTCGAAGAACGTGCAGGTCACGTTACGCTATCAAATTATGTGCATGCCTTGTGAACCATTTTAATGATATTATTATTATTATTATTACTTATTTTTACTAATCTAGTCTTAAATAACTTGAAAAGATCCATATTTTTAGATTTTAGTTACTTTTATAATAATAGATAAAGAATAAATATGAAAAACAAGAAATAAAGTACTTACCCAATCTTCTTTTTTCTTGCCCTTGATTGTCGAGGACAGTTAAGCCTGCTTTTTTTATAGTAATGACAGTTATGCACTTAATGATTTTTATTTAATTAAATAATGCACCAAAGAATATAGACTAATAACATGCAAAAAGTAGACAAATTCCCCTAACTCTTCCAATGAGTGACCACTCTACTTGCGAAGTACTTGGTACATTTGTTTGTTCATTATTGGATAAATCATCAATTGTGACTTCATTAGTAAATTCTTCTTCACTATCGGAGGATAAATCTGAGCTTGATTCGTCACTTTCACAAAGGTATCGGCAAAGCTCTTCATCAACAATAACCCGCTTTGCCATTTCAAGGGAGGAGAAAAAATTTGAAATGACCCTGACTCACAGATAAAACTGAGTTGCCACCAATCACAATAAAACGGAAATTTTCGTCATTCGCATAGAGTTATAGTTATATATGTGTGACTGACAGATATTTCCGTCATTTGCAGCTGACCCATAGAACTTCAATGATGGAAATATCCATCATCCGCAGTAAATGGGTTAATTAAAGTCTTATAATGTTTGATTAGTCCTTGTAAGATCCTAGCTAACTGTAAGATAGCTGTTCCCTGATGTCCCATGTGATATAATGTCCCACCTTCTGAACCTTTTGTATCAAAATTGTCATAAGTATTCATATTCAATGACTTTTCAAACATAACTAACTCTTCTTGTAGTCGCACTAGTAATCTAACATACTGTGGAAATGGTATGTCCTCAACAATTATCCATTTATCTTCATGTATATGTTCACTGAAAAACTCAGAAAATTGTTATAACTTCTTTCTTAAACTCTTTTAAAATGCTAGAATACTGAAGCAATTTTAAAATTTCCTCAAAAATATCCAATTGCTTAAGTAATATATATTGAAATGTAAGAGAGAACTATCAACAAATTTTGAAAGAGGATGTGACAGGTGGGTGTGTCAGGAGGGGGCTGATTTTCTATTTAATACCAAACAAAATTGAAGGCTATAAAAATTATAGTTTGTTTGAACAATAACTATTTTATAGAGTAATTTACTTTTAATTTTGTACATTTTCGAGGGGTGATGGATAAAATAGGGATGATGACATGCTAAGAGAAAATGTGTCACGTGGGTCACACTAATGGAAATTCATGATTTTTTAAAATATTCCCTTGTAGAATTAAGAACTTAAAACTTGTATACTATTAAGATACGGATTATTAGCTAAGATTTTATGCTATTCTAATTGGTATAACATAAACAAAAAGTAGCATAATAAAATTTTGAATGTAAGACACTAAAACCTTGTGTCATGTACAGTATAAGGTACCTGGGGGGGGATTGGATTAAACAAAATTTTAGTGCACTATTACCATTATAAAATTAACTAAAATATAAAAATAGGAAACTATATAGGTTAGTTAAGGTTAGATTATGTAAAATAAATAATAATATAATAAAAAATATTTCACAAGGTATGCATGTGAGCAGGTTGAGTAGCTCATGGGTAATGTAATCTGATAGCGTATCGTGAGCCACACATTCTCAAAGTGATTTACAACTTATAATGGCATGAATAGTAGTTAGACACAGTTCAAAGGGCAATAAAACAATAGAATTTAAGTATAAGAAGATGTATACTGTTATGAGTTTAAAGCTACTTAGGATAAATAAATGTAGTTTCACGTTAGAATTTGAAGTCATTCTGAAAAGCAAAAAATGGTAATTTAGATTTATTTATTTCTTTTTTTGGTGGTTAATGAGGTCGGTCAAATTGACCAACCTTGTATAGAGTTAGGGTAGAAAAAATAATGGAGAAAATATAAAGTTTTATTGAAAATAAACACTTGAAATATGTTTAGGAGGTTTAGAGATTATGCAAATGAAATTTGAGATTTTTGAGATGAAGAAAAGTATTTTTAATCTTAACATGAAAACCACTAAATATGATTTTTAGTATGGGAAAGTCTTATAATACTTACTGAATGTCTGCAAAATTTTGTGAAGATATACATACTATATTAAAAGGTAGTAAAATTGAAACTATAAAAAGTACAAAGTGTTCACATGGTCAGTCAATTCAACCGAGTTTGTGTAGAGAGAGTTAAATTACTTTAGAATTAATGTATAGAAATAAACTTTGCATCAAAACATAATTAATAATTCAGCTTTTAATTTTACGTAAGTTTTATTTCTTAATTTTGAAAGTTAATATTTACAAAATTCTCAATCTCCCCCTTGACATTTCTTTGCTTGGACTTGCCTGTTCTCTATTTTTCGTCACCCCTCTCTGTGTCCCGAGTTTCACATAAATTACTGATAGTCTAATTTTTATAGCCTTCAATTTTCTTTGTCTATGGCAATATAAATTAGAATGTCAGAAACACTTGCTACACTCACTTATCACATCCTTTCTTTCACATATTTCCAATAATTCTCTGTGATGTCTGCTTTTAAATTATTTATAACCAATAGAAAGAGAGAGTTTTAATTTGCTGAATGATGTATAATGCTACCTTGTTCTCAATAGAGATTTTTAGTTATTTTGTC